CAATCCTATTTGAAATAGAGACTGTAACAAGAATTGGGATTGAATCTGGGACAGAATAGGGCTGGGTATGAGGAAGCTGACTGTAGAGTGCTGGGGCTAGAGTAAAGTTAGCACATTCTTCCTGGGTTTTATGCAATAAATCTAGATCCAGAAAATGAATAGCCATGCTGGAGATAGATGAAAATTTAAGAAACTGCACCAGTTCACAGTTCTGAAAGATAGTACAACATTCTGAAGTGTGGTGGTGTCATCCACTGATAACAGTGGTGCAACAATCTGACTTAATGGATAGAGTACCACTGCTTACAGAAGACTGATCTTTGTACCAAGAATAATTATTAATGTTTTCTAGCTAAGGATTCAAAAGTTTCCATATGAAATCTGTAGAGATTGTGTCAGTTTTTCTTCATGTAATGGTTAAAACATACAATTTAGAGACCAGAGTGCCTAATTTTTTGCATGAACTATGTAAGTCCTTCAATACATTCATATATGCTTGCACATCTATAAGGACCCACAACTTCAAAATATTCTAGTTTTTAATTAATAAAAGCCTATCTAAAAGACATTCTGGTGATATTTCAATGTATTTGCAATATTGCATGTAATAGGTGGTGGTTATTCACACACCCTCTTTCCATTTTATTGGTTATTATAAAAAGATATGCAAATCCTCAAGTGGTAATGAGAAGTGTTGAAAGTAAATGTCCAAGTTACTTCTGTATCATAAGACGTCAAGACTAGCTGATGAGTAAAATGTAGCCCACCAGAACCAGGATCTGCACTTCACTGATTTTATTGTTGTTCTTGTATCACTCCTTGATGTGCAAACACATATGTATTACTATTTTCTTGAAGTCCTATTGTTAGAAACTATGTGTATGGCCACTGGATGTCACTCTTGTTCCAGTGAAAAGACTTGAAGCATGTCTTCACCACTAAATATAAGCCAACAGTTGCTCAACGTATCTCAGCCAATATATTTTTAGAATGAGACATATTTGCTATATGGGAACAATCATGGAAAATAAGATGTGATCTAAATGCATATCAGTTATAGAATTATTGAAAAGAATTCAAAGGGCAATTTGTGAAGCATTGTCATGAACAAAACACCCCCTCCTCAAAGTGTTGAGGTAGCTTCAAAATCGTACACTACCTCCATTCAGAGCTTTCCCATGGTGTGTATTCAAAGACAATACTTCTATTTGGCCTGTCACTTAAGTTTTATATTGTATGTTACCATGCCTGCAGTCACAACCTGGAAACCTTCTGGAGGACACAGCTAATTCAGAATTTCAACGCAAGGCAATTCAGTTACACCAATGCATTCTATAAAGCAAGCTTTTTGGATTCTTTGCAGAATCTTAATATCTGTTTGCAAGCAGAGAAAAAATGTGAAAGAAAACATAAGAATGTACAATTATGTGTAGTTCAAAACCTAAGGATTTTTGTATGCTTCTCTAGGCCTTTTGGGCCATTAGCTATTCAGAGGTGAAACCAAGAACAACTACAGAATTTTGCTAATCATTTTGTGATCATAAAACAAAATGCTTCATCCTGTTACAGCTTTAATTGTTCCATTTATAGGCATATGCTTGTTATTTCTAAATGTCCATTAAGACTGTATTTAAGAACTGGAACTGAAAGACAAATGTCCTAATGGTGCAGTAGCTGGAAGAAAGTGAACGGGTTCAGTGGGAGTCACTAGTCATACAGTTTTCATGGAAATAGGCACAGATCCTACCAAACAAGTTCAAAAGCCTTGTGCAGGGGCATAACCCATGGGTGAATTATTAGAGTCTATGAAGTGCTTTGCGGTGGCCTTTTTGTACTTTTGAAGTTTAAAGCTTTAGTTTTTACTTTTAAAGCCTACAGTTTGGGATTCTTGTCTATATATGCACTGAAAGCCATTTGCTTACTAACTTCTCAGGTTAAAACCGGTGGTGGATGGCCAGTAACAGGTCTTTTCAGTAATGTTTCATGAAAGATTTTCTTTTATGAACACTGTTTCATGAAAGATTTTCTTTGGGACTATGGGACATAACTTTTAATATGCATGGGGTTTATTAAAGCCAGCAGTTAAGACAATTATAGACTTTATGACTTTATAGTGTTAGAATGGTTATCCCGGATTTTAATGTATTTATCATCTGGAGGTTGAGTCATGACAACTGGACTTTTCTTTTGGTTTGATACTTTTTGCTGCTTGTCCAGGCAGCTTCTTCAACTGGACAAGCAGCTTTGCTGGACAAGCAGCGAAACGTATCAAACCAAAGAAAAGAAGTCCAGTTGCCATGACTCAACCTCCAGAAAATTGCACCTAGATCACCGAGAATCACTGGTGTTTTTGATACATGCTCCAGCTTTAAAATTGTTTTCATTATTTCATGCACAAAGGGTGGGGATTTTGATAAGCTGATTTCAACCCACCTAGAGAAACTCCCCCTTTCTGTGGAATGGTTACTTGAAGCCACCCAGTGCACTGAAACTAGTTTTCTGATTCAGTATATAGAATAGGTTGTTCAGATTTCACTGGAAGTTTTCTAATCTCAAAGTAGATTGATAGAATATTTGAGATAAGGTTGAAATAGCTTTCCTCATGCTTGCAATGGTTTGAAATTGATTGTGCACTTCCACATTCTGGGCCTGTGGGACCCTATTTCCTCTTGACAGGACAGGGAAAGCAATCCAACTCATCAGCTGTTGCTTCAAGGCTTTTTAAGTGGCACTTCTAGGGATTTTGCCAATCTACAGTGGTACCTCAGTTCATGAACTTAATTCGTTCCGCGACTCTGGTCATGACCCGAATTGGTCGCGACCCGAATCAAATTTTCCCATAAGGTTCAATGTAATTACGGTTAA